GCCTACACTGCAGCAAGCGAAAACAAGCCCAAATGGGGCAGCTATCGATACAGAAACAAAGGAAGAAAGCTTGCTTACCTTCAGAAGGCCACGGGTAGGCAGGGATCCCCAGCAAAAGATACCCCCACCTCCACTGCCAACCCTTAAATGAGGGCAGGGAAGGGTGGATCCTGGCTACAACCCTTCCAATCACTCAGGTACATTGCTCGCACCTGAGCTCCCTTGGGTTGGCCCTGCCTTCCCACCAGGTGCTCAATCACCACTTCAAGCTGCGGCTTACTATTTCAACTACAGTCATGTACTTTTCTCATTGGTAAAGACAGAAATTCCCTGTTGCAATGCCATAGAAAACTGAATATTGTTAAGATTTGGAGAATTTTTATTGTATTTTATTTTTACTTCTCAGGCACTGTTCCCAAACTCCATCATTCTCCAAAATAGAAAGTGTTGTTTTCCAGTCCCTTCTTCAGCTTCACAGACCTTGTCTGAACTCATCCTTCCTGCAGTGAAAGGCCAAAACTGAACACAATATTCGAGGTGCAGTCTCACCAGATTCCCTACGTCTCATTCATCTGATTTAATCACATTAATTTAATCCCCCAGCACAACAACAAAGCCCTTGCCCTTGCTCTCACAAATCTGAAGATCACTATGCTGTGAAACTGTTCCCCAGACACTGTCTCAAGAAGTTACCCTCATGTCATCATCAGCCTCCAAAACCATTCTTAAATGTTTCAGACCCCAAGTGAAGTGATTTTGTATCATTGATTGGAACGTTTGAAGCATTCCTTTTATCACTTCAAATCCCGTGGAGCGATTCACAGTTTGAAAAGTCACAACAATAAAAACTCTTCAACCCTGTGAGTGCTACTGAGGTTTAAAGGTGGCACTGTCTTACATAATACTCTCTTCCCCAGGCTTAATTATTTGCTTGCATGGAGATCCATAGATACAACATCTCTTAAGTCTGTTTCAACAAAATAGCTAAGTAAAAGCAGTGACTGATATTTAGTTTTGAGCGTGACTGTAATTGCTTTCAAGCTGCAGCTTTGCTACAGCTCTTAGCAAAAGCTGATTGTAGTACAAGCCTTGGCAGCTTCCCACCAGCTATCCGTAGGCCTGCTAGAAGGCTCAGTTTATTAAAGAGAGTAGACTTTACAGCAGCAATTCACCTCTCCTTATCACCAAGTTGGTAAGTTAATGAAGAGAGTCCATATTTTCAATAAATAATCAGAATATATCTATATATAAATAATCTAGGATGGAAAAGACCTCAGAGATCACAAGTCCAACCATCAGTCTGACCTACTGAACCCCACCACCCAACCATGTCCCCAAGTGCCACATCCACACATCTCAGACACCTCTGGCAATGAGGACTCCATCACAGCCATACTCCAGAGAAAATACCACCAAGTCAAAAGGCTGCAAGGAAAGCATGGCCTTGGCAGGTAACAAAACCAGACTGGAGTCCCATGCCAGTCAGTGGCAGATGCTAACTACCATTCACAAAACATTTATCATTTATTTAACAGGAAAGTTAGCAGAAATCTCTGGAACACAGCTCTTCTAGGCTGCATGCTGCTTGCTATGACTTCCTGAAGTTTCAAAGCAACAATCCCCCCAAAAAAGCCTCAAGAAAAAAAAGAAAAAAAAAAACCAAACAACCCACAACCCACAGACCACAAAGATGATCTTCAAATCGTTTTCAGGGCACTCTCAAAAGAGTTATCCTGAGTCTGGTCACTGAGGTTTTGTTTTAGTAGTAGAGATCTGAGATACTACTTGCCCTCTCTCTAGTTAGAGAGATCTGCTCTGACCCCACACTGCAGCAGGACCTGCTTTGCTGGGCTCACCCCAGTGTAAAAGGATGCAAACTATCCTTGCTCAAAGCCCGAGGTATCAGTATCTGTTAGTAACAAGTATATCAGCAGAAGTATTTTGATGGACTCTCAGACGAGAAAATGTTGACACTTCAACTATTTTAAAGTCCCCTTGTGAAGGATTAGAAATCAAGTTTTTGCAGTGCTTCACTTCCTTTCTCTGGGTTTGCATCATTCTTTGAACCTCACAACAGCACAGCGCTATCTGCGACCTGCCCTTACACACCTATATGCACAAACCAACAATGCAGCATCTGGAAAACCCAAGAGGTTTCTGTCAGTTTAAAGACCGCTGAAGTCTATTCATGTGTTTGTTTTACACGGTTTCTTCTTCCTCTCCATTCTTAAGTACAATACATATTTGATATAAGAAGCATCAAATACTGATCAAGTGTTGATGCATCTATTTGTGGAATTAAACTCACAAGCCACAGAACGCATGAAGGCAGTTTTCACTTAAAGGCAACAGCCTAACTGACAGCATCTAAAATGTTTCAACCCCTTATTACACGTTTCATACAAAGCAGCCCGTTTTTCTATTTGATTTTGCAGCTCTGAAATGCAAAAGCCTGAAAGTAACTGCTTTCAGAATTCTTATACGTGGAACAACTAGTGAAGCAGCCCCACACTTCGTATGTGCTTATACCAATCATCACACCTAAGTCAGAATAATACAAGGAAAGAAACCTCTGCGCAAAAAATAGCAAATAACAAATACTCAGGTGTCCATTCAGGACCCAATTTAGGAACAGTCGGCAGCAGCTGCTCTTTTAAGGTTATTACCTACAACTCCTGTATTTGAACAGAAAGAGCCACTGCTGTTGTAAGACCCATTTAATGTTGTATTATTTCAACTGCCACTGATCCAGCCAGCGTGCCCAAACACTTCTCTGACAGAGCCCCAATCCTAGAAAGGAGTTTGCACTGCCAATGAAACTTTTTTTCTTTTTTTAATGGAAGGCCAAATAAGTCGATGACACCGTAATGAAAAAGAAAGGCAGTAAATAAGTAATGTCTTTCCTTCACCAGAAGTCTCAAACTGCTTTAGATTCCAAGCATGTACTCTTCCAGATCTGTAAAACGTCTCTCAAGCACCGAACTATTACACGAGCTGATCAAGGAGCATATGTTGGTCGGAGTTACAGCTTAAAGCAGCCCGAACTAATGAGGCTACATTCTTTAAAGGGTACGGGTTTTTTTCCCCACTGGAAAAAACTGCTTCAGCACTTCGTATTTTCTCATCTCAGCCTGTGCCAACTACACCGCAACTCCTCACTATCAGTGAAAAAAGAGCAATGCCCTGAGCTTAAAGGGCTTTGCACTGCTTGGGAACCATCACTGCAACATCAAACTCTGCAAATCAGCAAGGACTTCCCAGGCAAAACAAACCCTAACTCCCAAGTTCTTCTCACATGCAATAACAAAGAGGTTTAGCACAGCGTGCAACTTGGTGGAGTTATAACCCAGGAGCAAAGAGGATTTCTGGGGGCTTGTTGTTGAATCTATGCAATTTTCACATATTCAGAGTTACTTGAAGAGCTCTCAGAACAAAAAAAAAAAAAAAAAAAAAAGAAGAGATCTAAAATAGACACTTTTTCTAGATAAATCTTTCCCATGAATCAGATCTACTGGTTCCATGACTCAGTGTACAACGCAAGTTTGACAGCAAATTGTCTACAGAAATTTTACTCATCAGCTTTGCCTTTGAAACACATTTACAGGCTGCTATTTTGGTTTTACAGCCTCTGAAACTGACAAAGGAACCAAGTTACGGTTAGGTAACAAATCAGCAATACATGACAAGGCTGACAGCAGTCACATGCTGTGAAGATAACTACACACAATGCTTCACATTCTCCTCCCATTTCAACACAAACCTGGCTGCACCACTATATCCCATGCACCAACACATCTACAAGCACAAGAACAGGCATTAATTACCACTAAGCAGTTTTGCTTTTTTGCTGAAGGACATCCTTTAGCCCACAGAAACCCAAACACCAGGGATGCTAAGAAAGGAACAGCAGTGCCTGTGTTGTACTTCCCATAATATAAAGTTTCCAGCTCCTCAGTGAAAGAGGAGAGGGGTAGGAAGGGCTCCCAGGAGCTGACAGCTGCTCACCATCGTTTCGAGGAAGTAAAAGTACATAGGCAACGTGCGTAAACCTCCAATGCCCATTCAGTCCCAGCACAGTGTGCCTCCAGCGCTGCTGTTCAATGTGTGACAGGCACTGCCAGCCCTGCTGACCCGCTGTGTGCGATGCTAAAGAGGATTTCAGCCCCCCTCCCCCCTCCACAAAACGTTGTTGATGGTATTAATGTTTAATACCACGCTGTCTGTTTGTTCGTGCTGCGCTGCTTACCACCCGGATGAATAAAGCAGTCTTTCAAGCAACAATCTCAGCCACTTTTTCATGACATATGCTCTAAGGACAAGACAGGCCAACAAACCGAGATAGCTTTAACCAGCTCTCCATTTCAGATGTTGTGCATCTTGAACGACGCCTGCTAGCTCGAATACCAGAGCTGAGCAAGCTGGTCTGCTATTAAACGTGGAGGTTGGTGGCCCTGCCTGTGGCAGGGGGGTTGGAGATTCACGATCCTTGTGGTCCCTTCCAACCCAGGCCATTCTCAGTTCTGTGAATCCCTTCCAAGCAGCGGCAGGCTACCTCCACACACAACGCACAGCCTTACATTACTATGCAAAACAACTCCAATCCCTTTTTAAAACACGTGCTCCTAGCCAACCTCGTCCACTCTTTTTACCTGCAGCTATAGTTCAGGAAGACACCCGCGCACTGCACAACGCAGGCGATTTATTTCGCACAGGCTGAGCAGTTCTTTGGGGACAGAAGCACGCAGACCTGAGCTCACGAGGCTGTTGTCTGCCTCCCGCTTTCACAGCCGCCGTTTTGCGCTCTGCAAAGCAGCCGCACACCTCGTTTACCCAACCGACCGAACCGCGGCGCGCGGCTCAGAGCCCAGCACCCGACGGCCCCCGTTTTCTCAGCGCCTTCCGCACCATCCCAACAACTTCGCGCTGCCCATCCCCAGCAGGCCGAGGGCCCCGAGGGCAGGCGGCAGGAGGGCGCACGGCCCGGCCGCCCCCCGACTCACCCTCGATGGCGATGACGTGCTCGCGGATCTGGTTCTGCAGCACGGGCTCCTCGACGCGCTCCAGCAGCTCGTAGATGGAGTAGATGTTGGGGTGCACCGATTCGAAGCGCTGGATCTCGGCGCGGATGGCTGCCGAGTTGGCCAGCTGCTGCTGGTAGTTCATGGTCCCCCCTTCCCTTCCTTTCCTTTCTTTTTTCCCTCCCCTCCCCGCGCCAGACCTCAGCTCGGGCTGCGCCCTCCGCCTCGCGCCCCGCCGAGGGGCTCCGGGGCCGCGCGCGCCGCCGCGCCCCGCCCCCTGTCACTTCACGGCGGCGGCGGGGCAGGGCGAGCCGGCAGCCCCCGGCCCCATGGACGGCGGCGGCGGGGTGGGGCGCCTCGCGGCTCCGGGCCGGCCGCCTCCTCCTCCTCCAACTCCCCTCCCAGCCTCGCCTTCGTGCGCGGCGCCGGAGAACGGCGGCAACGGCGCGCTCCCTCTCCGGGACCGGTTCCCCCACCCCCCCCGCTCTCGCTCCGCCGCCCCCTACGTCTTTCTCCTCCGCCTGCCTCACGCTCACGCAAGCCGCACCCCTCGCCTTACCTCACCGCGCTGGCCGCACCGCCCCGCGCGCGCGGAGTGAAGGTAGGTGGCTCTGGGAAATGTAGGCGGCAGCCGCCATCTTGGCCTCCCCTCTCTGCCGCGGGGCCGCCCTGAGAAGCGTCAAAGTTGGCCCAAAAACCGCGTTGGCCTAATTACTGATAGTTACAGTAATTGTTTCCCCGCTGGCGAGGCGCTAATTGGCGCGCTTGCAAAATTATCCTCACACAAGACGCTATATTGCACCAAAAGCTTCGTCTCTGCCCCAGCAAAAGAGAGAGCGATGTTCAAAACAACAGTGCGCTCAGTCAAAATCACCCTGTAATACTAATAAATATCCAGTCAGGATCAATTCCGGGGTAACAAAACACTGCTGTCATTAGCGCTAACGAGCTTTAAGTAAAACAAGCAGTATTACTTTCACACAGGCTGTACGCTCAGTTGGGAACACACCTCAGTGAGTTCATTTCTGCGATCAATATTTGATGGATTTCAGTCCCAAAGCTGTAAAAATGGAAAGTACAACTATCCACCTGTTTCACCAGCAGTTAACTGAGTAACATCTATAACAGACTTGTTTTTCTCCAAGTGCTTGAGCAAATTATTTGCAGACACGACTCTGCAACAACAGCCTTGCAGAGCTGTTCAGGTTGTCAAGAAAAGTTTTTTTGTCTTTGGAACCATCTGTGAATTTGGGCTGAACGTGGTACTTCTGAAACCGCTCTGGATGTAGTGCAATGAAACATAGAATTGCTAGTGTCTTTGGTGTCTCCTTTGCATGAATATGACACAAACTGCCCTTATGTCAGCAACCAGTGAAGAGGACAGAGTTGGGGACGGAGAGGAGAGGCCTTGTCCCTGGTACACGGTGGGTGAGGAAGCAGCAACCAGCAAGCTGGTTTGGTAATTTAAACCAATGTTTTCGTTACCAAAGAAAACTTGGTTTCCCTCAAACCATTATATACTGCCAGTTTTCTCATTCTGATACCCAAATAGGGAAGTCTTAAATTCAAGATGAGGGTGTGTTCGCTGCTGCATGAGTTGTCTTCTGCTCATTTGAATAACTGGGGGAGAGAGAGCATATGTTCATAGCTATCTGTGTTCTCTTCCCTCTTCTTTCTCAATAGAGATTAGTATAATTCTTGTTAGCTTTCTTGGCTCTGTTTTCTAATCCCGGTAGGAAACTCCCACTATTTCAATCAGTTAATGGTTTGCAAAAAGCTACTAAATGCAAGCTGTAACACTCATTTTCTTCCCTCTGTCCAGTTCTGGAGCAGAAGCATTACCTCTTATCTCTTGGTGCTTCCAGAAATGCCAGGGAGCAGAGAAAATAGTGAGACAGCAGCTTCCATTGCATGTGAGGCTGACCATTTCCACCACGACCATATATGTGTTCTAACAGCTCCAAAGTGTATGATAGTCTAAGACTTGACTATAAACAAATGCAACGATTACACACAAATAATTGAAACATGAGAATCCTGTGTTAATATCAGTTTTCTAATTGTGTAAAGCAGTGGGTACTATGAAGGTCATAGAATCATTCAGGTTGGAAAAGACCTCTAAGATCACCCAGTCCAACTGTCAACCCATCCCACTGTTCCCTCTGACCACGTCTGTCAGTGCCACCTCTCCACTGTTCAGGAACACCTCCAAGGTGACCCTACCACCTCCCTGGGCAGCTGTGCCACTGCATCCCTGCTCTTTCTGGGAATAAATTGTTCCTAATATCCAACCCGATTCATAGACCTTCTACAAAGTTTTATTTATCCTGATTTTTTCTTTTTTGCTGCAGAATAATAGCTTGCATATAGTCTGTGTAAAATTAAAGCAATCAAGCTACTACTGCAGTTTACTCGGTAAGAATGCCATAACAGTAAGTGATATTTTCCTATGCTTGTAGCTTGTTTAGCTTTAAATGCTGCTTGTGTTGCGCAGAGTGATGCTGGAGACGTTCCTTAGCCATAAAACTCTGCTTTAGGGAGTCTGGCATTAAAAGTTCTCCATCATCCTTCAATGTGGGCTGGGCTTTGGCAGCACTGTGTGAACATTAATAAATCTAGATGTTTTCCTTTGGTCTGGGCCAAGGCTAGCTTGGGTACTTGACAGCTTTTCCTTCCCTGCTTTTGCCAAAGGCAATATAACCACTGAAACTGGGGCTCATCTCTTAATCTGTGGAGATCCTGAAACCCAAATAGTTTTTTTCTTACACGTGTAGAAGGGCCAATGGGCTTTGTGTAAAGAGTACAGAGTACGCTTCCAAGGCAGATCAGTGCTACGTGCTGGAGGTGGGGCAGGGCCCAGCTTTCCTTTCTGAGCGTGAAAGCTTCCCAAGGATGGTCTTCCCATTGCACCATGCTCCCACAGAGCTGGCTTTGTGGTTAGATACATGAGCAAGTGCCATCTGTGCCAACCTCCTACTCCTCCTCCCTATCTGACAAATCCAGTCATTGCCGTGACTACAGAAGGCTAAATTGCATGGTTTCGTTATGATTTCAGTGCTGAATACCTTCAAAGAATAACAATAAGCGGAAAGCAGCGTTGAATCAACATCTCAAACAGATCTCACTCCTCTCAGATGATTTTGTTTACCCACCTCATTCTATTCCCTGCAGTCTAACTCTACAAAAAGTATAGGAAAAATGTTGAGGAGATGCAATTAGTAAACCTGGTCTTAAAACTTGTGCACAATTAAATTTGGCTTTTGGAAAGGAGCCCAAACATGCTAGTAAAAACAAGCAGCAGTGGGACCTTAATGAAAGTATGGGTGTAGGAAGCCTCTGTAGAGAAGTTACAAATTGGGCTCACAATCCATGAAGCTGATATTTATGTACATATAATGAAGAATTCTCATGGCACACTGTTACTCTAACACTGTTACATGTTAACTGAAAAGAGTTGAAGCATCCTGATCTGGTCTGTAACAGGATTTAAAGTACATAAACTCAAAAATCACAAATAAATAGAGACAGGGCTGTTTGCAGACCCAGCTGAAGGGGATTTGCTGATAAATGGAGAACAGGAGAACTCTCAGATCATCTGAGGGAGAGTGGCTGTAAGAGAATTCTAGCTGACAGTCAGAAGCAACATTTCAGTTAATTTGGACAGTTTCACAGCTTGCTTATGGTCATACACCCTCACCATTCACGTGATGACCATAGGCATGAGCAGTGTTGTTTTCAGTATGCAGGGTGTGTCAGGAAAAGTATGGGAGACAGGGTGTTAGAGATGCATCATTGTGCCTGCTAACACTGATGCTGCCACAAAGACTGAAATCAAAACCAAACAGAAAGCAAATATGGAAACATCAAGTTTTCCAGAATTATTTTTGTCATATTCCACAGTGAAATGTCAGTATGAAACTTAAATAGGTTAAGCATCCTCTGGTAGTAAATTATGTTATTTTACTGGGTGAAGATTTGGGTTAGTCAGTTACTATTACAGAGTGATTAGATTGCTCAGGAGGCTTTGAAACAAATGTAACTAATGAATTAACCTCATTCAGTGTGCAGAATCTATTCTAGGATAATTGCCAACTAGTTCAAACAATACTAATTATGGGGTAGCAACAACAAGCATTTTTCAAAGCAGTAGCTCATTCCTCAATGTTCCTGTCATAAAGGGGAAAATGCTATTCTACACTAAATCTGCTTGGAAAAAATAAAAATAAAGATGGGATGGCAAATGTAACCTGCATTTCTGAAAGTTGGAGCAGGAATCAAATCAGACAGGACAGAGCCAGGCTCCTGTCAGATGTGCTCAGTGCCAGTACCAGAGGCACTGGGCACAAATTGGAGTGCAGAAGGTTCCATCTGACCATCAGCCAGCACTTCTGTGCTGGTGACAGAGCAGTGGCAGAGCCAGATAGATCTCTGGCTGCCCAGAGAAGCTATGCAATCTCCTCCTTGGACTTGTTCAAGAGCCACCTGGATGTGGTGCTGGGCACCCTGCTCTGGGAGTCTCTGCTGGCCAGATGGATCCAGAGGTTCCTACCAACCTCAGTCATGTTGTGACTATGATTCTCATTAACCTAAGTTTCATTGTAAAATTAGCTGCAGTATTTACAAGTTTACACAACTATCATCTGCAACAAATCAAAGACATTAATCTGATCTGGAGTTGTGCTGTAGCTTCACTCAGGCTGATGATCTCTGTCTTAAAGCAAGGACTTAAAGTGTTCACGGTGAAAATAAATGACATCTTCAGATAAAGAAAGATGTTTATAAGAGCTAAGTTCTACCCATGCTATCTAAAGCATAGACAGCTTCATTTTAGCAAAGACTTAAATCGCATGCAGCAAAAGACTTGTTCAATTGCAGGTTATGTATCAAATGCTATTGATACCTTTTAGTCAGGGCTCCATCAATGTCCTGAGTTTTATACTAGGATGGTTTCAGTGACAGCCTCACATCTCAGTTCCAGGATACTCAGCACACCATAGAGCTTTCATCACTTTATTGAGCTCTTATCGTGGCTAAATATGATTACTCTGGAAGTGTCCGAGTTTGTTCCTGCTGTCACATTTCTTGACAGACAATCAATATTTGATTCACCACATAATTCCATGTTACGCTCAGATCTCACTTCAGTGGTGTATATGCTGACAG